AAAAAACTGATTTATATCCTTTTTTATATGTCGACTCATTAAGACTTAAGTTCAACGCATTAATATTAATAAACAAACTAAGCTCAAACTCAATTGTTAGCTCATAAGGTCTCGAAGTTGAACTTGAGTATCATATGTTCAACTCGACTCGACTCGTTCACACACACTAAATCCTAATATATGGATATGTAATTTTTTACAAAATTGGGAATTTTGTAATAATCTTGATTTTAGAAATAAAATTTTGTAAACACAAAACTTATGTGAGACGTGTAATAATTAATAGGATCGACACATCATAATATTGCAACAGAGATTTATATTTTAAAATACATTTTTACAATATAATGGAATATTGATGACCTATGTACTCAAGTAGCAAATGTACTTGAGAAAACTAATGGTTATTGACTTTGGACCATAAGATGAGTTTCCTGTGAACATTATGTTAAAAAATAAAAATAAAAAAAATTATCTGATGAGCTTTGAAGTCAATTTCTATTTGAACAAACCAAAAAGGAAAAGACTATAAGTATAAACTACCTAATAAATTAGTAAAATAGACAGATATATGAAATAATATAATAAAATATATATGCAGAAATGATGTTCACAGCTGCAATTCACATTTCCATTTTCACAACCTGATGAGCTTTTATAAAACTATAAGAAGTCATCACCCATTAAAAAAAAAATGGCATTATCCTTTACAAGCCTACATTTTGAGCAAATATCTTCATAAAATTTGTCACTTTTTGCATTCACTTCAAAGGACCAAAAACCCATCTTCTTACTGGAAAAGCCTAGTATGGATCTTCTTTATATGATTCTTTGCACCAATACACACAGAGTCAGTTTTACAGGCTGCGAATTTGCTCCTTCACCAATGACTTGTGGGCCCCACGTCCGTTTTTCAGACGCCAAATGCAAAAAATACAGAAAAATCAGCTGTTGGAGTGTGTGTGTGTGTGTGTGTGTGTTTTTTGTTCTTGAAATCGTCTAATGCTGCAATTTCTAGCCCTTTCTCTTTAGCACGGTGGAGCTCAAAAGTTGATTTCCATAAATTTAATCATCATCTGCAGATTGGGAAAGAAAAAAAACGTGATTGATTCTAGAAAAAAAGTCAGAAAAGTTATAAGCATACATGGAGGGAGCATTTTCTGATATATTTGCAACACAAGCAATAAATATTTAGGTTATATTTGGTAACCAAATAAGCTAACTTACAGTTTATTTGATTAGCTTATAAGCTTCCTAAGTTATTGTATTTAAATAAGTTTTATTTGGTAAGACGAGCTTTTTTAGAAAGCTCGAGTTTATTTCATAAGCTTCTTTATGTAGCTTTTCAAATAAGCTCGTTAAATTTTTTATTTCAGCTAGTTTTACAAAACATAGCCTTAATGGTCGCTAGTAGTTGAAAAAAAGATGTAAAAGTAAATTAAAAAAAAATTGAGGATTGGAATTTCGAACTAAGCTCTCCTTTGCTTAGAGAAATACCAAAAGCACTGTTCCTGAGCAAATCAGCCTCTCTAAAAGGTTAAGTGGGACTTTAATTTTCTAGCTAAAATGAGTGTTTATTTGTCGTGTCGTGATGTATTAAATAACACTAATATTCGAAACAATTAACAGTAAAACATATAAAGAACTCACCATTCGAAGGATCAACGTGCACAAAGAAACTAGCAGCCACAATGAGATAGCAAAGAATGAGCATTAAACCTTTAAAATAATTCGATTGACCTTCCTGCAAAAAATGAAGCAATTTTACACTAAAGATATTACTATATGAAAAATAAAATTCCGTTGTAAGAAACATTTTCTAACATTTAAAAAAAAAATGGTTTGAAGGAGAAATGCGTGTAAAAACGGGTCTCATCCAATGCATGGAAGAATGAGGTCTCTGTTTGTATCACGAAATATAAGTTGTATGCTAAGCAAAAAGATAGTTTTATTAACGACAAATATAATTAACAAAAAAAATAAATAAAAGTAGAAACAAACCTGAAGCATAAATGCCACGACTAATACGGTGATAAAGAGAGTCGCGGTTTCAAAGAGTTGAAAGTTCAAATCCATAGGCTTTCCCATGAACCAACCAACAATTACACAAAACGGGATCTGCACGTATAATAACACCATTATTCAAGAAAAATGCTTTTCGAAGTTTACAAGTCCCAATTATTTACTTTGATTAGGACTTACCACAAACATTGATATCTGAGTAGATGATCCAATTGCAACTCCAAGTGAAATATCCTGGAAAAATAATGAGCAATTAGATGAAAACAGTAGAATTTAAAAAAAAAAAAAATATTAACAAAATATGTATTATCTACGGCCAACGAAAAATGTTAATCAATACTCACAAGCTTATCCTTCATTGCAAACATGATAGCACTGGCGTGTTCTGCAGCATTACCCACAATCGGAAGCAAAATAACACTTATAAAAGCAATGGGAAGGTTCATTGAATCTGAAGCCCCCTGTCAAAAACAAGGAATATTAAAATATTTCATAGAGTGAAAATTTCATTTTTCCAAGCATTTTCCTAGTTGTATGCCGAAAGGCAGCTTAAATTAAATTAAACCGCATAAATACATGAAAACTTATAACGGACCAAATTGTTGCAATTGGCACATTGCTAGAGTTATTCGATAAATCTCTTTCATGGTACATTCATAATAACACAATCATTATATCATGGATATGGTTGGATTTTCTAACTATTTCGCACACTATATAAATAATAAGTATACATATACATGATTGCACAACTACATTATATTAAAAAAAAAAAAAATCATCAATATTTAAGTACATAATATATTCACCAAAAATACCGTACTTTTTTCTAACTTTGGTGCAGATATTGATATGATTAATCACCTGAATTGCATCAACGAGATATCCAGATAGAATAGATATCCACAAAGTCAAAATCAAAAGCCACGCAATTGCTTCCCAGTGTGTAATCTCAGGAACTTCATCTTCATCCGAACTTTCATCATTATTATCATTCGACTGCACCAAACACCAAAGCGAAGATATTTTTCAGTAAATGCTGCTTAATCAGTTGAGTGTAATCGCAAAATACATAATCATAGGACAATAACATCCCTGATTCTAAACAAAAAGATAGGATTAGAAAAGAAAATAATTTATATTGTTAAGAAGGGAAACATTTCCGCTACCAATTCAAACTTATAAATATCGTTACAATATTACAAACTCGCACTCGGAGGTTTATTTTATTCTAACAAACACTCCTTCAATAAGTGTGCAGTTTGTAAATAGAAACAAAAATCAAAGGGGTCTTTGAAATTTCAAAGTATAGCTCACCACTTCTTTTTTTTTTTTTTTCNGCCTTATTTTTGTAGTTAACACTACTAGACAATATGCATGTTTTGCCTATTTCTCGATTTAGATTTAAAAACAATATATGAAGTTTCTCTCTCTCTCGATAAGATTATGGAAAAAGGCATATACACAAACCTCATCGAGAGAAGAATATAGATTTTGTTGACTCTTGAGCTGAAAGTATAGGTAGCTAGCATAAGCAATCAGCATTATGCAGCTACTAACTCGTGAAAGAGCAATCTCCGATTTTCCTTTATGCAACTCCGTGTGAGTAAAGTGAAGCACAGCTGGAAATAAAATTCCCATAACAGCCATCAATAACAGTCCTGAATTCACTAGGGCAGTGGCCTAAAAAGTAAACACACAATTTTAGACGTTAGATTTTACTTTACGGAGTCCCATACTCAAACTGCACCTAAGGTAATATAAGTAGGGGTGCAGAAAATTCGGTTAACCGAGCCGAATTGATCAAAAACCGAATATTTGGTTCGGTTGTTGGTTTTACATTTTCTTTAAATTTTGGTTTTCGGTTCGGTTTGAATAATAGTGATTGATTAAGCAAACCAAACCGAAAACCGATTTATACAAACACACACACACACACACACACACACATATATATATATATATATTATTTACACATATAAGTTATAAAAGCATTGATTTGCTTCAATGATTGATGATTTTTTAGCTTGAATGACCTGGACCAAGCATTAATTTGCACTTAAGATTGACTTCGTCATAGTCCAAGTCATGGTTTGTGGGTTTGAGATCTTTCTTAGAGGAAAAATTGGAATTTATTGAGAAGATTAAACGATGAAAATCAATTTTTTTGTTCGGTTAAAAAATCAAATTTTTTGCTCGGCTAAAAATTAAGAATTTATTGACAAGATTAATTATTTATTGCGACTAAGGATAACCGAACCGAACCGACCGTGGGATTTTTGGTTTTTATAAATTTCGGTTTGTTTTTCGGTTCTTATAATGGATAAACCGAATTTTTGGTTCGATTCGGTTCGGTTTCAACCGAATGAGCAGCCCTAAATATAAGGCAATAGCACCAAACTCATAAACCTCATGAAATTACAATTACAACCTTGACATCCGTTTCACTAGGGAATAGAAAAAAAAAGGCAATGGAATTTTGGTAAATAGCACGAAACCTAGGGGCACTTCCGTAATTATGTCAAATTCAATACTTTTTCCTAATGATCCATCACCTTATTGAAAATTTGAACTTTGTGATGATGAACTATCCCGCCACAGAAAAAGGCACATCCGAGCACCAAAAGCATATTAGACAAGATGGACCCGAGCAAAGACTGCTTAACAACTCTAATCATCCCATTTTTCAGTGCATACATTGAAATTATCATCTCGGTAGCATTGCCAAATGTCGCATTAAGAAGGCCACCAACTGCAGAATCAAATAATGAAAAAAGGTTACTAATGGAATTGGTGATAGATTAATATTTTTAGAAAAAGGTAATGATTTGAGTAGATATCGTTTTCCAAAGTTTCAAGATAGTGATTTTAGGACATTGATTCGTTTATGTAAGCAAGAAAAAAGTTAAGCTCCACATAAGAACAGGGCAAGCAGCATCGTGAATAAATGATTTTACGATAGGTATCGATAAGCTCTTCACAAATTATTTGCATCTATCAGTAAATTATAGCAATAAGCAAAATGAGAACGTGTATGATACCAATTGGGCCCGTATAACATGCTAGTTGCCTGCAGCAAACGGGAAAGAACGTCAGTTAACAGATATTTTTCAATGAAAATGGAAATTAAAAGTATGGAGAACTAAAAAAACTCCATTTTTATTTACTTACTCAGTAGCATAACCCAATCGCTCGGCTAATGGAGTAATTCCAAGTAGGCTAAAGAAAAACACCCAGCCCTGTACCACACCATGGATCAAATTAAATAAAAACAATAACAATAATAATAAAATTGAGATGTATATAAATCTCAGTATCAAAATTTTTAGAAAAACCGTTCTTTTTTTATCAATTGACCGAAAAATTGTGTTTTCTTACGTGAAGTTCAGTAAGATAGTGTAGCATAATTGCGAGTGGTCCAAACGGCAGCAGAACATTAATCTTGGCTTTGATAAGGACAATGTATATACTTCTCAATATGCTGTTACGGTGCACTTTTCTTAATACCCAAGAAGCCGAAAATTTTCGATTCAACAAGATGTTAGATGATTCGAAATTTAACGGGTGCACTTTGTTCGTTGACTGGGGCCCACTAAACAGTATCTCCTCATCAGATTCAATGTCTAATTTCTCTTCCATAGATCCCATCTGGAAAAAAAAATCAAAAATCACATATATCGATAATCCTTACACCATTGAAAGAAAAAAAAGTCTAGTAGATAAAGCATAACAGTGATCACATGCCTCAATCATGATTAGATCATGATTACTGATAAGTTGATCAATTTCAAGAAAATGTATAGGGATTGAAAATTCGGGCAATGTGAACTGCAATTGATTCTCAAATGCATCAAATGCTTCAGTCTGATGGNAGCAACAAAACTAAATTTAAAAAAGGTTGCCAGTAATGAAGATTTTTACATTCTAAATCGAGTCATACCTAGTCAACATAGAACAAGGATGGATAACAAGTAACCAGCCCAGATCAAACAGACCACAAAATTCAGGACAAAAGAAAAAGGTAAATAAAAAGTAGTTCATTATTACCAGCAAATAGGCAGCTAAAGCAGACACAATTACGCAGACCCAGATCAAGATCCTTTACAAACACACTTGATACACAAAGAAAACCCCCAAAAAGTTAATAAAGATCAAGTCTTTACCATTGGTGAGCAAACAAAGAATCCTCCTTTTTCCAACTGATGCAAAAAAATAGAAACTAACAAGAGAATCTGCTCATCAGGGGCAGCGTATTATCGCTAATCAACATCTTCAAATACTCAGAGACTGTGATTTACATTGCATAAACAAGACCCAAAGGCAAAATATGAGAAAAAAAGAACAAAAAGATTACAATAATAACAAAATAAACGAGCAAATACGCAAAATCTTTGCAGGTGAAAAAAGAAAAGTTTTAGAATTATGTTTAGATCATTTGCTTGTTGTGAAAGTGATAGGTAATTTGGAAGATATGTGTTTGAGGGACCGGCTTCAGGAAAGAAGGAAGTTTCCACGAAGTAGCGCTTAACGTGCCATTATCAGTCTGATTTGGATTTCAATCTGATTGTTTAAGAATTAGTAATAATTTTCGGAGTACAACAGTGAAGAGTTTTACAAGCTTCAGCTGGTATTATTATAAAAATAACCATGCACAATTAATTCAGGGTTAGCGGCTAATCATGTTGAGTTTAGTCTAATCAACGTCATTGTGGGTCAAAAAGCAATGTTCTTTTTTTTTTTTTTCCACAAAGTGGCATTATTAGTGGCTATGAGTCTATGAGTGTTCCATAAGAAGTACAAATTGAGAATATGGGAAAAAACAAATTATTTGGATGTGTATCATCTATCAATTATATCAATCAATATTATAGTTAACTTATGAGTCTTGTGGGCTCGAGCCCAATAAATAATTGTCCAGATATGGGATAAATTAGCTAAGTGGGCCTATATTTTCATGAGCCCATAATACGATCTATCAAATTCTAAACTGTGGGCCTCCGTTCATAATTCATGCAATGCCCTATAATTGCTTGGGCCAGCAGCTGTCTGCCTTCTTTATTATTATTTATTAATCACTCATAAATAAGAAAATACATAATTATCTTTAAGAAGATGCATCCAAACATAATAATCTCAACAATATCCCGATAAACATTAGACTTACAGATGAACAATCATACTCTTTTAATAATAGATATGAGTACTTAAAAAAATGTCATGTTATAAATAAAAACAAAAGAATCATACTCTTTCAATATATATGCATCTTCAAAAATATCATATTATAAAAATAATAGATAATCATAAAATTAGACAATCATATCCTTTCAATAGATATGCATACTTTAAAAAATTCATATTATAAGAATAATATAAATAAAAATACAATATATAAGTATGCATTTTTTAAAAAAAAAATTGAATTAATCCATCGAATAATTGAGTCCCATCATACAATAGTTTATGAATAAAAGTCACTAATTTTGCCTTTCTATTTTCAGGGTGGTTGGTGCAAATTTCTGATAGGGAAAACTAATGTAAATTACTCAAGCAGCAAAACTGCAAAAAACACAAGATCCAAGAATATGATTTATTTTCCTATTTGGCTATTTCTCTATTTATTTGTCTTATTCTGCATATATGTCATTTGTGATTGGTCGATTGGCATTTAATCTGTCAGCAATATGTCATGATTTATTAAAAAAAGCAGCAAGGCATGCATGAAAACACAAAATATAATAAAAATTTAGGGAATAATGCAGAGAGCCTCAGAACTTGTGCAGACTGGCCTACCAATAAAGTAAATGGAAGCATTAACCTGCAAACATTTTCTTTTGTTTATCTTTAAGTGGGCAATGCAAAATTAAATGTCACAAAATTTAATTTAGCAAGCATAATTTATAATACAGAAAAGTTAGAAAATGTAATTTTTTTCCTTTTATTTTTGATAATTTTCATAAAGTTAATAATTTTTCACAAATTTCCAACAACAAAAATTTCAAAGAAGAAAAAAAAACTACCATAAATTGGTGGGCTGCCTAGTCAGACATAACCATTAGGCAATAATATTTATTTAAACTTTAAAAATAAAGTACTCAAAAAATGATATTTTCTCAGCATTAAATATGAATGTTCGTTCAAAAAATATGACGGGTCGACCCGACTAAACATGTAATACAACATCTTGTGCCATAAAATTGTTGCTTCACAAGACCATTTCTCCATTTCCTCACAGGCTTCCTCCACAATTTGACCAAAAAAATAATAATAATTTGCATACTATCTTCCCAAGTCAACTCAGATGAGTCAAAACCAAACAAGAACTGAATTTATCAAAATCAAACCCTCCTGACTTTTTCAATAATGTAATTTAATTCCTTGTGCAATGACATGTTTTTTTGGGGACTGATTCGGGTCGGGTCAAATGCATCATCTTTGATTTATTCAAATGTGTAGTGTTGTAAAACAGTACAAAGTTTGTTCAATTATTACAATGTATCATATCATTTGAAAGCTTTTTTGAAGCCCTTTGTTACATAATCAACTTCTTAAAGTAAAAGATCTCTACAGGAAATCAAACCCAAATTGAGTAAAATACTAAACCACACTCACTTTTAACTTTTGTTCTTTTTAAGCATTTAAAAATGAGAAATTCGACCCTACTAATGTGGGTACTTCGTATTGAGATCTGCACCGTCTGATCACACACACACACACATATTCGTGTGTTTATTGATCTAACGGTCTAGACTCGGTAGGTTTAAATTTTCCTTAATATGCAAAAATGATGACAATAGACAACACAAAAATCAAAATACAACTTGCAGATCACAAATTAGTTTGTACTTTTTTTTTTCCTTCACTCTTGTGAGCTTCTGTTACAATAAACCACTTATTGTAAAGGAGATAAAGGAAAATCAACCCAAGAAAACAAACACAAAAACAAACAATAAGCAGCTCTATAACAAGACAATCTATAATAGCAATGTAAACATAAACTTTGTACATTTGTAATGTAATAATACATACATGTCCTAGGTCTGATAAGGTAACAACTAACATGAAAAGAAGAAAAAAATAAAAAGTAGAGTTAGATAGACAGACAACAATTGATAAGTGATGATAAATCAATTATACAGAGCAAAGTAAAAAATAAAAAAGAGAAAAAAAAAAAAAAAA